TTGCTGCCCGAGCATGAAAATGTCGAATCGGATTCTCAGGCCCCGGAAAACTACCCGGGCGGTCGTCAGTAAACTTAATACATATTAATGTGTGGATCAACGGGCATAAAATTCGAGCCTTAATTGATACAGGGAGTACTATTAATATAATATCACAATCACTATCAAAACAACTCCACCTTAAACCAGATCCACACACAGAAATTCCCGTCACACAAGTGAACGGTATAACAAAAACTGACGGCCGCCTAGCGATCACATTAACGATTGGACCAATCACAAGGAGAGTAATAGCTCATGTGATTCCGAAATCACCAGAACTCTTTATTATCGGTACCAAAACTGGACAACTATTCGATCTTCAAATTAATTTGAATCGTAATAGTGTGTACCGCATTGGACCGAACGATGATCGATTACATCGATGCTTGACTCTTAACAATGATAAACTTAACACTATACTTTTACAGTACGATAGTCTTTTTGCAAAATCAGATACAGATATTGGACGCATTCTTGTGGGAACCCACAAAATCCGGTTACGGCCTGGTACAAACCCAATCGCGTTGCGACCATACAGGCATTCTCAATCCGATACGATTGAAATACGAAAACAAATCCAGGCTCTTAAAGAAAAGGGCTGTGTTCGCAACTCAAAGTCACCATGGGCAGCGCCTGTAACTCTAGTGAGAAAGAAAAACGGAAAGCCACGTCTGGTTATTGATTATCGTCGAATGAACGCCGAAACGATTGACGAACGAGAGCCTCTCCCTATCATCCAAGATATAATCGATGAACTATCTTTGGCACGTGTTTACACGACACTTGACATGGCCTTTGGCTATTGGCAGCTCGGATTAGACCCGGAATCAGTCGAAATTACAGGTTTTGTAACAATTGATGGACAGTATGAATGGCTGGTCCTGCCAATGGGGTGTAAAAACGGACCACCAGCATTTCAAAGAATTGTTCGCCAAATACTAGGCGATCTTATTCATCATGGTGTCATCCCATATCTCGATGATATCATTGTTTATTCCCCAGATATAGAAAGTCATTACACTCTATTAACAGAAGTGCTTCGACGGTTATTAGCTGCTAACGTTAAACTACGACGAGAGAAGTGCCATTTTCTGAAACACACAGTTGAATATCTCGGATTTATGATAGAGAATGGCTGCACACGTCCGGCACCATCAAAAATAGCGGCCGTTAAAGAGTATTGTCGCCCAACTACTGTTAAAGCTGTGCAACGATTTGTTGGTCTGGCTAATTATTATAATCATTTCGTACCAAACTTTAGTAAAATTGCAGAACCTCTCACACGTTTAACAAGAAAAGATACCCCATTCAAATGGGAAGAAGCCCAAGAGTCTGCTTTTCAAACATTAAAGTGTAAGTTAACAGAAACTCCTATACTAACTATATATCGCCCCGATAGACCTTTATCTTTGCACACCGACGCCAGTGCTGTTGGAATTGGCGCCATTCTGATGCAACCCGACGACGAGAACCGCAACCGAGTTGTCAGTTATTATTCCCGTCGCTTAAATATTCACGAATCAAAATACACGGCATCGGAACTGGAGTGTTTGGCCGTCGTAAACTCAATGGAACATTTTCACGTATATGTACATGGAAGGCCTGTTGATATATATACTGATCATTCAGCGTTAAAATGGTTATTTAATATAAAAAACCCGTCAAGTCGATTATTTCGTTGGTCAGTTCGCTTATCTGTCTACACCTATACTGTGCATCATAAGAGCGGCGCCAGACATGAAGCGCCAGATGCATTATCGCGTGAACCAATTGCCCTTTTCATTAACGCAAATGAAATATTGGACGCTCAGAAATCTATCGACCAAAATTCAATTCGTAATGTCGAAACACGTGATGGATTACTTGTCGTCAAACGGCGTGGTATTACACGTATAATTATTCCAAACTCGATGTGCGAACGCGTTCTCAAACATTACCACGATGACCACGGACATACTGGTATATCAAAAACCCAACAATTAATAACAAGTATTTATTGGTGGCCAACAGTCATTCACGATATTAAACGACACGTCAAAAGCTGTCACACTTGTCAACTGGTCAAATCTACAAATAGACCCTCATTAGGGAAAATGCAACCAATTCCGACACCACACAAACCAATGGAAATATGGGCCATCGATACCGTAGTAATGGGCAATTCGGCCGCAAAAACACGAGCAAAAAACATTCAGGTTATTATCGATCACCATTCCAGATTTGTTTGGGCCTTTCCTACACCTAAAAATACAACTGCGACCATTATAACTGTATTACTTCAGTTGTTTCGCACTGTTGGGACGCCGGATAAGCTAATCAGCGATAGACACCCAAATTTCACGGCAAACGCTTTTCGCAGATTTTGTTCAGATCAAAATATACGCCACGTAATGATTTCGCCATATCATGCCTGTGCTAACGGGACCGTGGAAAAGGCAAACGACACAATCATACGAAGATTAAGAATGGCCTGCTTTGAAGACTCGAAGAAAAAATGGTCAACTTTATTGCCCGATGTTGTGCAAAAGTACAACACAACCCCACACAGCGCTACAGGATTTGCCCCAAACTTCCTTCAATTTGGTATTACTAGCGAAACAACGCCAGAAATTGGTTTAGCAGACGCTCGTAATCTTGCCATAACCAGATCTGAAGCAACAAAAAATAAGCGTAAAGATTTACATGATAAGAAACATCAATCATCTCTATTTAAAATTGGTGATTTAGTAGTCCGCAAAACACCCGACAATCACCCACAAAAACACAAGTTATCGGCAGACAATTCAGGGCCATTTGTTATCCTTAAGCCTCTTGGGCCAGAAACATATCGCATTGGCAAACAAGACGACAATTCCCAAATAACGACATCACACGCCTCTCAATTGCATAGATATCTGCCACGAGTGGTCGGCAATTCTAGTGACCAAACGTCTGATAACTAACCTTTCCATTTATAACGGAGACTTATCGGTGGGGGATTGAGATAAAATATTTTATCCAATTTATTCATTATATAAGAATTTTACTTATGATTAATAATTAGAAATTTGATATTTAAATTTAATGTTAGTTTTTATAATGAAAGAATTTATGACTGTTGTTATCGAATAGAATGAAATAATGCTATGAATTTCACTTTTGTTTTACAATTGGATTGACTGTTGCTCGCAATCAATTACACAATTACTTTTATAAACCAATATTTTAATACTTAAATATATGACTATTCTTATGAATTATCGATTAAATGACAATAAATCAAATTTATGTGAATTCTGTAATATTTGGCCGAATTTATTATAAGAGAGAGAAGCGATACTAAGCGTCCAAAACCTACGATTATCTCAATAGCATATGGAAAGCGGAGTTTACTCCACATCTATACATGGAATAGATTTCTTTTAATTGATAAAAGTCTATAATTACCACTCAATACAACATCCGTTTTGGCGTTATTACAGGCAATGAATATCTCTTTCGGACACAAATGCATAACATTTTCTTTGGACAGACCGACGACAGCCATCAGTCCCTTAAGTATCAAATGTTTAAATTGTTTTGAAACCATCGCTCGCGCGTACGTCAGCACAAGTGCCTCTTTTGTGGTCAGACACCCGTCAGCGTAAGCACAGGCTATCTCTCCGAACGAGTGGCCAATTATGCCGTCGGGTGTGATGTCCAGTGCTTTCATCACTTCAAACAACGCTATCTCTAAAGCAATTGTCGAACAAAATTTGGCGTTTACTGAAGACATCGATGCTTTGTCTTCACATAATAAATAATATTTCAAATCAATTCCAAATTCGTGTAGTATTTGATGGCATTCTTCCACTTTATCGGCGAATATCTTGATTGTCATCAAAGCCTTAGCCATTGCCGGCCACTGACCGCCCAAACCCGGGAACAGTAGCCATAGAGGTCTCACACTTTTACCTTTCATTTTTCCTATTTGTCTCTCGTATTCGTATTTTATTTCATTGCTTTCTTCCGAAACTTTCTTTATTATAAGTGAACCTAAAATAATACAACTTTATAATTAAGTTTATAGCACATTTAACAAATCTATACCCCTATACGGAAATCCGGCTGAATTAAAATTAGGCGTGTATTTCATAGTGTGGGCCAAAAGTGCCAAAAAGTCATTCGTCACTCTCTTTGGGTTGTTTTGTATGAAATATAATGCTATGAATTTCACTTTTGTTTTACAATTGGATTGACTGTTGCTCGCAATCAATTACACAATTACTTTTATAAACCAATATTTTAATACTTAAATATATGACTATTCTTATGAATTATCGATAAAATGACAATAAATCAAATTTATGTGAATTCTGTAATATTTGGCCGAATTTATTATAAGAGAGAGAAGCGATACTAAGCGTCCAAAACCTACGATTATCTCAATATAATTAGATTGTTAGTATTTTATATAAAAATTAATTTAATAATATAAACATTAGTGTATTTGCATGAAAATACGTTTTTACATAAAAAATATTTGATTTAATTATGTTTAAATAGTTATCAAAACGTTTTAAAACCAACGCTAGACCAAGACAAAACTTAATTTGAATGTGTGAATATAATGTAGTGATTGGGTTTTAACATTAAAGTTTATGACTAAAAAGTTTGATGCATAAGTTTTAGCATAAGAGTCTACGATTAAGCCTGAAATCAAAGCCGTTCATTCATATAATAACAATATAAAATATTATCTTAATTGCTTAATATTTAACAGTAACTTAGCCGTAGTTAACAAAATTTGATATACCCAATTTATATATGCAATCGTTATAATGTTTCCTTTATAATAATTCAGGTAATACAGTATTGATTGCATGCATATTCATTTTTATTATTATAATATTTTTCTAATTTTAAAACATTTTTATCATAAGTTAATATTTAGCATAATAAAATATTTTAGGTACAGTAGTTAGGTTATTTATTCTAATCTAGAAAAAGTAGTCGGCCCACACGCCATCGCATGTTTCATGAAACGGATCCTTTAGTACTAGCCGTAAGTCCGTGGGGTCGAGTCCGTGCACTTTAGGCGCACCGCTCGGGTCATCGTTTAGCAATTGCGGCCAATCAGCGTCCATATGACTAAAATGATTAGGTTTATTGATTATTGTAATTAAATTAATTATTTTGTGTTATATTGCTATATAGAAACAATTTTCATAATGATAATTATTTTAGTTATCTAATTTGTTTATAGTTATTTAAAACTGCAATTTACCCGTCTTTAGCAAATTTAGTCCACATTTTCACAACAAAATTTGCGTAAAATATGTCTTCGGGAATATAGTCGTCGGGTTTGAGTAGTGGCAGACCAAATACAAATGGTATTTCCATGCCGTGACAAATGCCCATGGTCATTACATCGCAACCCAGCTGTCGGGCGAACCAATTACTTAAATACAACAACTCGTAAAAGTAAACCCTTTGCGACTCTTTGACAGTTTGTGCGAACCGTTTGGCAAAATGATATGTCGGACACCCGAGGACTAGATCACCAAAGAGTTCAGTAAATGCTGTCCGTAGGGCTACAGAGTCGCTAGTGTTAACACCTTTCAAGTAATGTTCCGTCACTTTAGATACATTTATGTTCCTATAGCCTAATGAGTCTAATCCAATAAAACCGTTGTGAAAGTCGGTAAGTGTCATATGAGCAGGGTCTTTAATTACGTGTTTAATAAATATTGAGCCTTCGGTTTTAGTCACGCCAGCGATTAAGTCAATATCTATAAGTTTTTAAATAGTATAAACATTGAATAATATCAATAAAAATTAAATATAACTTTAGAATTATTAGCAAATTGTTTAAAAAATTAAAAATTAATTAACTGCAAACTATTTTATTTTATGAGAAACTAGATTAATTAGTATGTAAATTGTAATAAGCATTTTAATTAGTAATTAACAATTACCTGTATTAAACTTTTTGTCGTTAAAGGCCTGTTGTGTACGAATGGGCAAAAACTCTGTCCCAAACACCGGATATGTTGCTAATGAGGGCTCATATTTGAGTAGATCTTTTGCGTCCGCTCTTCGCAGACATTGTATCCAATCCTCGGTTTCATTGCATTTCAAGCCTTTAGCCATTGCTTTGCCATTAGATATGGCTTCAGTTTTGTTGACCACATCCCTGTCCTTGTTATACATTTGGGCTCCGCTTTCCATAATAGCCCTCTGAAACATACCTTTTGATAGCGGGGAGAGTATGTGTGCGGACACCGACCAACTCCCGGCGCTCTCACCAAAAATGGTGATCTGATCCCTATCTCCGCCAAATGAGTGGATGTTTTCTCTAACCTATTATTATGTCTTCAATAAATAGGATTTATAATTGCAATAAGAGATTAATTAATACCCATTTCAAGCCTAATAACTGGTCATAAAAGCCGACATTTCCGGGCGCGTCCTCCCGATCTCCGTATAGGAAACCAAACGGTCCTAACCTATAGTTGACGGACACAACCACCACATCCTTTGTGGCCAAAGCGCTCCCGTTATACCACTCTTGAAATATTGAGCCCACATTAAGAGCCCCTCCGTATATCCAAAACATCACTGGTTTTAATTCCTCTGTATTTGTTGTCCATATGTTAAGCACCAGACAGTCCTCACTGAGGGGTGAGTCCGGACTCATTTGCATCGGTTGTATGCATGAGTTTTTAGGTTTTGTCGCATCAATTATATCCTTGATATAGAAGTATTTAAAAATTATTTTAAAAAATTAAACATATGTTAATTATTTTATAATACTAGTATAATATTGCTATCGCAAGTACTGTAAAAAAATATATTTATTAAAATATGCTTAATTTGATCTTACGAGTTAAAGTGATATTTTCAATTATAAACATTGTTTACATAACACTTACGGGAAATGGTTTGGAAATCGGTTTGGGTTTAGCGAACCTAAGTTTGCCGACCGGGGGATCGGCGTAAGGAATGCCCAGAAATTGGTCCACATTTGTGTCCAACACGTGTAGTGTCCGACCCCTCACTACTCCTATACTGGTGTTCACATCAATACAGTTCACAGTATTTAATGTGAAATATAAAATAAATATTGTAACAAAATAAAAGCTAAGCATATTATTTCTGATTTAATAGTATTGATAATACACTAAAATCAAATTAAACAAAATTTTAACAACTTATTGAGTTTTAAACAGTATTATAAGTTTATATAGTATCGACATTATCTTAATTGATAATTCGGGTAAGTAGTTGTGTACTATAGTTGTGTTTAAGTAGGTTTTATAATTATTAATGTATATTAAACTGCATGTTCATTAATCTAGTGAATAAATATTACCACCCGTTGTTATTCCAAATAGACATTTATAAAAATCATTGTGTAATCACACTGTATATACACTGCATATTTAGGGTATGTACTTTCATTGTGTTTATCTAACTTATCTAACGGATAAACATTACATCCCGTTGTTATCCCGATATTATTCCATAAAGACATTGATATAAATCATTAAGTTTAAATGTATCATTGTACTTTGTATAAAAGCACACTGTATAATACAGTGTATGTACTGTAAGTTGTAGTGCTCACTTGTACACACTTTTGGTCATGTTCACTTTTGTAAATGTACTACAGTATTATTTTTACATTTAATCCTTTTGACATACTTAAAAATATGCCATTTCCCATAAACTAAAACTTGTAATCTATTATTTGTTCAATATAGAATTTGATGAAAGTGATATAATAATATTTATAATGTGTGAACTACAGTTATTAGAAATTACAACCTTTAATACTATTTATTAAATTAATCCTCATAAGAAATACAATCGGAGCCGCCTATTGTCACATTGTACTTTTTCTCAAGTTGTCTAAATTCACGCACTGCCTGTAACTTCATCCTTGGGTTAATGAATTAAAATGTTATTATATGGTTTGGTTCAGTCAACAGTTTGTAATCAAGCATTATATAAGTAAATATCTAACCAGTCAAATGAAAGTGTCCCCGCGGTTTTTGTGATTACAGCTAAACTAGAAGAGCTAGATCAAATCTGTAAGAAGTAAAATGAAG